CTAATATATATATATATATATAAATTATTGTTAGTAAGGGATCAAGAATAATGATTAAAAGACTTAAATATATTTAGTGAATTAATATAAAGAAGATTTATTAAGGATATTTGAATAATTTTATAAACAATACTGACATTTTGTGAAGAATATCTTGCTTTTTATTTTTTTTTTCTAGAGTAATTATGGAGTAATTAAGTGTCAAATAAAATTGCAATTAACAAGAAATAATTACAAATTATAACACTGGGCTTAATTGAAAAAACTCATTAAAATTATTTTTGAATTCACAAGGAAAGAATTGCGTGCAAGATTTAAGTACTACAATTTTTTGTTTTAAAAAAGGGCGACTAGAGCCCATTTTAAGGGTGACGGGGAATGGGGGAAGGGGATCTCATGGGAATTAACCATCTAATCCATGAGACGTGATTCCACTAACCAGTGATCACAGCTACCAGGGCGGAGCGTTGTGATCGATTTAAAATTACAAATGATAAAATGTAAGGACTTTTAATTTATAAATTAATGGGTCAATGAAGGAGATAACGTGTCAGGGAAATGGATACGGTGGTAGACAGAAGGGCAATGGATGGATACCCACTTTTTAACGTTTTGAAGTAATTATTTATAATGAATTGATAAAAATTTTCTATTTTCTTTTTATTCATTTTCTAAATGAAATGAATGAAGAAAAACAAAGAAAAAGGGAAATATTTGATGTGAAATTGCCGAGAAGAAATTGAAGCCCACCTAAGTTGAAAAAACGTGTGGGGCCAATTTATGACAATTCATGAAGTCATGGAGTAGTTTGTTTACTTAAGGAACATTGTGGTACTGGCAAAGAGACAGCGCAGTTAACACTTATTGCTAGATCTGAGTACATGCTTTCGCTTCTTATTTTGATGGATTCGAAATGGTTGTATGCGATCCTTACACTCTTCTTAGTAGAAGGGATGTGCCAAGGGTGTTTGGAGCAAGAGAGAATTGCTCTCCTGCAACTCAAGCAATTCTTCAATGATCCTTGGGGGCTGAGAAATTGGGGGAGAGGAAAGGAAAATTCAGATTGTTGTCAATGGGAAATGGTACGGTGCAACCCCTTCAGTGGACGAGTTATTGAACTCCATCTTGATCACATAACGAGGAGTGGAGCTTACAATTATCTGAATGCCTCTTTGTTTCTTCCATTTGAGGAATTGAAGAATCTTTATTTGGGTGGAAATGGAATAGTTGGTTGCATTGAAAATGAAGGTTTTTATTATCTATCTA